GTTGTAGTCACATTTTCGTCACATAACTAGATTTTGATAAAGATTTAAAAGTGAAGTAATAGAAAAAAGACATTGACACTTGTGTAGGGACCAAAGTGAGATTTGAGTAAAAGTGCAGGGGGTTGACTGGCACAACTTCATGTGCAGGAACCAAAGTGGGATTTGACCAAAAGTGTAAGGGGTTAACTGTCATGATTTTATGTGTAGGAACCAAAATGGGATTTGGTGTAAAGTACAGGGGTGCAAAATGTAATTTACCCAATTTTATTTAATAAAATACATATAATTTTTAATATATAAATTCAATTTTTATAAAATTAATATTATTAAAAAAAATATCAACAAAACCTTTAAAATAAGACTAATATTTAACATATTTAATAAAAATTTAAATTAATGATTCAATAAATATATAAAAAACTTACATAATTAAAATAATTTGTATGATTTGAAATTAATGTGAATAACACTTATTTAGAATTATTTTTTGAACAGAAAAATGTCATTTTTTATTTACTAAAAAAAAATAAAGACTAATAAAAAAAATATTAATTCAAATTGTACAAAATTAATAATAATAACAATAATAATAATATTCAAACTACACAAATGTTAACTTAAATTGTAAAAATAAAAAAAAAAATAATAAATCATACACCTAATAATAATTAAACCATACAATAAAAATAATACAACTTAATACAAAAAAAGTTCACTAAAAATAACTAAAATAAAAATCACATATATTTTAGCATTAAAAATAGTTTCAAAAAATTATGTCATGAAGAATCCAATTCATCATATTTGATTGAACTCAGTCTTCTATTTTTCTTAAAAAAAATAAAACTAATTTGTTAAAGAAAATATCATTTTCTTATGATTCTATAAACAAATTGTATAATAAAATTTAATAAAATATAATCAAGTGTTTCCCCTCCAATGTTGTTTGCAAAAGACATTTAGATATTCCTAACAAATTGTATAATAAAGTTGAAAGGAAATTAAACAATAAAATAAAAAATAAAAAAGACACTATAGACTGGAAGACAAATTAAACAACTAAATATTTGATTAAATAAAATAAATAAATAAGAGATAAAAATATAATAGAAAAAAACAAATTGTATAATAAAGTTTAATAAAATATAATCAAGTGTTTTCCCTCCAATGTTGCTTGGAGAAGGCATTATAATATTTTTAATAAATTGTATAATAAAGTTTTAAAAAAATAAACAATAAATTTTTTTTTAAAAAAAAGACACTACAGAGTGGATGACAAATTAAACAAATAAATATTTGATTAAATAAAAAATAAATAAGAGATATAAATATAATAGGAAAAAAATAAATTGTATAATAACGTTTAATAAAATATAATCAAGTGTTTCCTACTCCAATGTTGCTTGCAAAAAATATTTCAATATTCCTAACAAGTTGTATAATTAAGTTTAAAGAAAATTAAAAAATTAAATTAAATAATAAAAAAGACATTATAGAATGGAAGACCAATTAAACAAATAAATATTTGATTAAATAAAAAATAAAATAAATAAGACAAACATATAATAAATAAATAAACAAATTAAAAAAAAAAAAATACGACCACGAGCTATAATGCCATCCATTCATTCTAAGAAATCTTACGTCGACAACGGATATTTCAAAACATTTTTTTTTTTTTTTGTATATATAATATATATATATATATATAAAATCTAATAATATAATGATATTAATTAGTATAATAAATTATTAATCTTAATTAATTAATCTTATCATATTTATAATCTAAGTTTGTAAACTCTTATTATATATAATGTTAACTTTAACTCTTTATTTTTTAAGTTTTAGTATTTTTTAACCTTTTATTATTTTTTATTTTTTTTTGTATTTTTGTGAATCTAGAAATTGAAAATTATTTATCGATAAATAAATTGATGAAATATATTTGAAGTGGTGTACAAATAACTAATTTAATGTTTTTATATAAATTAGTGATTATATTAAAAAGAGTTAATTACTTAAAAGTCATATTTACAAATGTTATGGTAGTTCAGGTCTTATCTAAGATTTTTTGAACTAATAAATTCTATTGTAAAATTGACAATATTATCAATTTTTTTTCCAATTTTTAAAACTAAAAATATTATTAATTTTGCATAGTAATGTTCTAAATAATTGTTTCACTAACTGATAATAAAAAAAAAGAACATGAGATTAAACGCTTTTACCATTCTACTTCTTGATTTGATTCAACTATCCAATAAAATAAAAAATATTATTAGTTTTTGTCAGTTTTAAAGCTGAGAACATTATTAGTTTTTTCATTTTAAAGTTTTTTTTTTTAAAATAGTTTTGCACATCAATGTTAAGTCATCATACTCCTTTATAGACACAAAATTTTCAATTTTGCACAAAAAAATAATTCAATTTTTTCAATTTTTTTTTTAAAAAAAACTTTTTTTTTGCACATAATTTTATTTTTTTTTAGTTTTTCCAATTTGAAAGTTAACATTTTAAAGTTTTGAAAATCAAAATAAATATCAAATCTCCTTTATAAATAACTATAAATGATGAACAATCATTATTTGAAAGGTAATTTTAACTATTAAAAATTTAACGAAATTTGAAAGTCTAAAAAATCTTAATTAAAATTTAATGTAGTATAAATTCATAAATTAAAATTTGTGTGCAAATGTTCTTATTAAAAAATAGTTTAAGTTTGAAAGATTTTAAACTAATTAAACCATACCGAGTCAAACCATTTCAATCAATTTGATTTGATTTAACGAGAGAAGTAATTTATATCGATATTTAAAATAATAAAATTAATATTATCAATTTAATAAAAAAATTAATTTAAATATTGATAGTACCGAACCAAATTACACATCTAGGTAAACCATCCGTGAACAGTTTTGTTACGGTTAATAATCCTACCAATCAACTAATCACAGCTCCCTCCACCATGTCGTATCGTGTAAGAAGAGCTGTGGATATTCGTGCAGGTAGGTGCTCATTGCACGCAAGGACTCAGAGAGAGAGAGAGAGAGAGAGAGAGAGAGAGAGAGAGAAAAGTAGATATGTGATTGATATCATAATTTGGAGAGGCCTTTTTTTAACCAAACGCGTCGCTGTTGTTGCTGCCTTATTCACTCAATGTGGGAAAACACAAGAAAGATGAGGTAAGGGGCCGTTGGTGGTGGAGATCACACTCATATAGATAACATTATTCTTATTCCTATTCTTATTCTTATTTTTATTATTATTATTTTGATTTCTAAGTCTCCAATGTGTTTTTTTAACAGATACATAGTATTAAGGTTAAGTTTGGCATGTCTTGAAAAAGACAAAAAGTTAAAAAATTACTATCTTATTTAGGGTTAGTTTGGGTTGGGTTTGATGTGATGTGTTAGAGAGGTGATGTGATTTAAATAAGATGATGTGACTTAAATAGGATAGTGACTTTTTGACTTTTTGTATTATTTAGTAGATGCCAAACTTGGCCTTAAGTCACATCATCTTATTTAAGTCACATCACCTCTCTAACACATCACTTCAAACCCAACTCATATTTCACAAAAAGTGCACTTATTTAGATCATCCCAAACAACCCCTAAATATTAATAAATAAGAAAAATTATATGTAAATGAGAGAAGAAAAATAAATAAATAAATAATTCTGTTTACATAATTATTTTACCTTTTTACGCCATTCATATAAGATTTTTTTTTCCCTTTCTAATTTCATCCATGTGTGAAATTACACAAAACACTAAAATTAAATATATTTTGTTATCTCCTTACATCTCATAATCTTTAATCCCTATTCGTTTTCTTCCTTTACCAATTTTTCTTCTTTCTTATACATCTCTTTTTAAAAAATGAGAATCTAGTGTTTTAATCATAGAAGACAGCAATAGATGAAGAAACGGTGCTAAAAAATCATAAAAAATTGAAATGTTAGATTTTTTTATTTATTTGGTAGATTTTTGCTTCGTTTGGTAGATTTTTGTTTCATTTTTCTAGATTGTTCTTCGGCTTTTGTTCGGTGTTTTGAAATCAAACAAAATAAAATAGTTTGGCGTCACATTACTGAACAAAAAATATATGTCTGGTAATCAATTGCTGAATAAAAGATATATTTTCGATAACCTAAGGCCGAACTTTTTTCATTTGTTCGGCTGTTCATTACCGTATATTTCCAATTTCATTTTTTTTTTATATTTTCCAATTGAACGACAACATATTCCCAAATTAATTTCTTGTTGTCATCCAATCGAACGACAACATATTACTGGGAAAAAAAGTTTGTCAGATAATATGGCACTGGATTAATTCAAATTCATTAGAATTGAATTACCAAATAGGCCCGACACAAATTTAAAAATCATTGTTTTGAAAAAAGTGGCTATGTAAATATATAGCAACAAAATGCTGGATAAATTTATTTTTTCCGGTAACATAACACTGAAAGAATGTAAATTGTTTAACACTGTGTGACCGAACATGCACTTCGCTATGAGTTTCACTCACTATCTTCCCTGCGTCTTTCTCTTTCTCCTTGCTGCGTTTTTCTCTGTTCTCTTATTTTCTCTCAAAAAACTATTAGTGTAAATAGATGAAATGATTTTGAAGAGTCTTACTTTAGGGTTAATTTTGGAATATAATAAGTGTAATGATAATCACATTTTTTTTAGTGGTGTAATGAGATGGAATGTGTAAAGAGAAAAAGTAATGGTATAAATAAAAGCACTCAAAAAAAAAAAAAAAAAAACTCATGGGGGTGCAAGTAATATTTGTAGCCCTACAACCTTTTATTTGCAAATTGCCCTCTATCATAGACACATTTA